AACCCAACAGTCTTTCCTCAACAAACGGCAACAGGGCATCTGTGAGGGCAATTTACCCCCTCACATGCTGCAAACGCTGTAAATCTACTTTATCTAAAGGGAAGCATTGACCAGTGTGTCTGATCATAGATTTCACTGCATGACCAGGCGGAGCATCCGATTCAATCCATCCCATCCCAGCAGGTCTTTATGAGGCAGAGCGGGGCGTGAGGCATGATTACACCAGTGGGACCCCTGAATCCTGTCTGTGATCTGTAGAGAGGGACATGCGCTTCCTCAAAGCTAGCTCATATCACTGCTCTGTGTGTGTGTGTGTGTGTGTGTGTGTGTGTGTGTTCAGATGGGCTGCTCACTGGGTCACGACTTCCACCATTGAAAAAGTGAATGACAAAATGCTTTTTCTCACACACACAGAGAGAGAGAGAGAGAGAGAGAGAATAGGTTGTCATTTTGGAACAGTAAAGGAATATTTTTTTCAAAGATTTTTAAGCTTTTTTTTTTTAAAGGTAAAGTTTCTATTTTTTCTTATAAAACTTTATTAGTGTTTAGTAGTTCTTTAATTTGCAGTTATTCATGTTAGCAGGGTCAATGACAAATAAAAGTGTTCATGATAAAGAAAATCATTTAAAAATCTAGTTTAAAACAAAAAACGGCACTTTTTGTATCCATATTGGTTTCATATGGTTTTGAACACTTTTGTACTATATATTAAAGGGATAATTTATCCAAAATATTTAATAAAAATTGAAAAATTTACTCACCCTCATGTGGTTTCAAACCTGTAAGACTATTTAGAAAAATGTCTTTTCAAATCATTCATCATTATGGAAGAAAAATAATGACAAATGTCTTTGACTCAGACTGAATATTTCGGACGTGAACTCTGGAAGGTGAAATTTTGAAAATGTGTGTGAAATGTTTTGAATTGAAATATTCACAGCTTAAATATACAACCATATTGAATTTCGGCCCCTAAAAATGCAAGCCCTGAAAATTCAACACATTAAAATGCAAGCACTGGTAATGCAATGCATACATTTTTCAGTTAGTGCAATTCAGCATGCTTTTTTGTCATTATTTTTCTGCCATACATCATAATTTTTGGGTGAACTATCACTTTAAAAGACTTATGTCATATGGTGTCACTAAGTAAAAAATAATAAACATTTTACTTATATCTTGAACACATGAGTGTAAACATCTTAATCTTTATAAATATCATTAAGTTTTTGGGGAGATGCACCATGTGACATTTTTCAACCTAAACGTTGCTTGGTTTATCACAATTAGGTAAAATAACCTCCTATTTCAGGAAACTTACAGACCATGGGGCTCTGCAGGTGACCACTTCCTGATCTATTTTTTTTTTCTGCATGGTAGTTACATGACTTCTACATGAGTTTCTACGGGCACTGATTAAGTCTGTATTACACATGACTGTATAATGAATGAACACAGACCTATTCAGACTAATTTTTATGAGTAATTTGTGTCAGTTGCACTGCATGGTCCAACTGAGATGATCAGGAATAATGATCTTTACTGATTTGAATGGCAGAGCGGTACCATTCTTTTTTTCTGAGTGTGAATAACATTTTAATATTCTAAAGAACCTTTTTTCCATTATAAAGAACCTTTTGTACAATGGAAATGTTCCATGGATGTTAAAGGTTCATCAGATGCCAATAAAGAACCTTCATTTTTAAGAATGCAGGTGCAGGAAAAAAAACAAAACTTTTGCATGTTTTGAAAAAAAAAAAAAATTGGCACAAAACTCATAACCATAATGTCTGGGTGTTGTGGGTGGATGTTAAACTTGTGCAAGACGAATTAATCAAACGTTTACTACAAAGTTGATTGAAATTCTCAAAAACATAATTGAAGAATGGATTCGAAAACGGTAAAACTCAACTGTTTAACTCTAGGGGAGTTGGAAAATGAGCCTATTTTCAAAAATAGTGGAGTGTTCCTTTAAGTAAACGTCTCAGTGTGTATCCTTAAATCACATGTGGACATGGGCTTGGTGAAAGCCTTTGATGGAGTTTAGCCTGATTTTTTCCTCAAGATCCATCTGTTGTGGTCATCACTCACAAAGCACTTGAAAACATTGACACGCACTTCATGATGGAGCTGCTATCAGTGCAGCTGCCGCGCCGCAGTCTGAATATCGACATGTGACAGACCTTGAGTCGGCCAGACCCAGTTCATCTCCACAATAACAAATACTGTGGCCTAGAAAAACATTCAGGCTTGTTCACGGTTCCTCCACATCTATCTGAAGAGCGGCACGTGTGAGGTTCTGCTCAAAGCCATTGTGCTAATGAATGCCACTTTAAACACAACACCCTAACAGACTAACTCTCACTGACAGAACTAGAAAAATAACATCTTAGAAGATTGGGCCGTTTAAACAGGTTGAATCGGTGCATAATGACTGCATGACCTGCATTCAACTGAACTGGATTCTCTGCAAAATGCCTCATCCAAACGGTCTTCTCTTTACCTGTTATTTAGGTCATCAGCAAAACACTGAATCAACCATGCATCCTTATTCACTGTAAATTAATGGAGGGAAAAAATATAAATGTTTCACGTGGGTATGAACTACATAAAAAAAACAAAAAACATAAAAGCCAATAAAAATAAAAATATTTGCAAGGCCATCTCCCAAAACACTACCAGAAAGTGCAAAAAGTATATAGATTATAGTTTGGGGTCGGTAAGATTTTATTTATTTTACTTAGAAGAAGTTAAAGGGAAAGTTCACCCAAAAATGCAAATTCTGTCGTTAATTACTCACCCTCGTGTCGTTCCACACCTGTAAGTCCTTCATTCATCTTTGGAACACAAATAAAGATATTTTTGATTAAATCCGAGAGCTTTCTGACCCTGCATAGACACCAATACAACTGCTTCTCTTCATAAAATTGAGGTTAAACCACTGGAGTCACATGGAGGACTTTAATGATGTCTTTCCTACACTGTAAAAAATGATTGTGATTTTAACAGTAAAAGACTGTAAAAATGCTACAGTAAAAACCTGTTAACTGGTTAACAGTAAGTTTCCATACTATATACGGTGAATAAATGTAATTACATTTAATGTAATTTTATAGTAAAATACTGTTAAAAATACGTTTTTTGGAAGTGAAATAGAAAACGTCATTGTATAATTTACTGTGACAAACTTTTATTGTGAATTTAAGTTAAATCTGTAAAACCTAAAATGTTGCTACCATATTTTTTACGGTGAAGTTCTGGCAACCACAGTTTCCGGTATTTTGCCGTAAATGTCACAGATTTTTTTTTACAGTGTACCATTCTGGATCTTGAATGTGGTAGTTGTATTGGTGTCTATGCAGGATCAGAAAGCTCTCAGATTTAATCAAAAATATCTTTATTTGTGTTCCGAAGATGAATGAAGGACTTACAGGTGTGGAACGACACGAGGGTGAGTAATTAACGACAGAATTTTCATTTTTGGGTGAACTTTCCCTTTAATACTTTTATCCAGCAAGGGTGCATTAAATTGATCAAAAGTGACAGTAAAGACATTTATAATGTTACAAAACATTTCTATTTCTATTCATCAAATAATCCTGAAAAAATGTATCATGGTTTCTACAAAAATATGAGTCAGCGCAACTGTTTTCAACATTAATAATAATAATAAACGTTTCTCGAGCATCAAATCAGCAAATGGGAATGATTTCTGAAGGATCATGTGACACTGAAGACTGGAGTAATGATGCTGAAAACTTATAAAATAAATAATATTTTACAATATATTCAAATAGAAAACAGTTATTTTAAATTGCAGTAATATTTCACTTTAAGACTATTTTTACTGTATTTTTGATCAAATAAATACAGCCTTGCCAAGCAAAAACGCTTAAAGAATCTTACCAACCCCAAACATTTGAACAGCAATATAAAGTGTTTGAAAAGCCCATTTTTGGCCCACTTTCTGATATGACTTTGGGCTTACAATGGTTTTAAAAATTGCCTAAAATTGTTCTAAAATTGTAATTGTAGGGATTTCTATATATATATATAACAGACACTGTGACACTTTATAGAAGTTATTAACAAAACCTGCAAAGACATTTCCCCACGTGATGAAGTGAACAGCATTTTAATTTAGGCACGAGAAGGGAACCACACAGGGTGTCGCTAAGCCCCGCAGCCACCATCGATTGGACAATCGCGTGTGGGCGGGACAAAAGTCAGCCCAAGGACGTCATCCAAACGTCATTCCGGCGCCAAAGCGACCAACCATCCAGCAACGGAATTTCCCTCCAGCAGCTATCCAGGAAGCCTGCGTCAGCAACGGGAAATCATCTCAGCTTTTCAGCTGTCAACCAAGGGAAAATACATATAGTCAAATTGGTAATATACACTGACATTAACGTCTCGCTGGCCGAGTAGCTGATAAGGTGTAAAATAACAAATTTGAAATCAGTTCTAAACAGGTGGACTTAGAATTTTCAGATCCGAGTCCTTTCAAAACCTGAGCTAGAAATAAAATTAATGATTAATTCCCTTATAGAATTAACGACTTAAATTACAGTTAAGTCCCTACATAATCCTTTAACCGACTGAACTGGTTCATTAAAAAGCCTCCACCAATTGGACAAAACTATGGTTTACAAGCAACTTTGACACAACACAAGAGCAATGTGTAGTTGATAAATATTTTAAAGCAGAGCAAAACTATAAAATGTATATTCAACATAAAAATTTCCATGACCGTGGGAATCATGTCCTGAACTGTAAAAGTTGTCTAGGAGTGGCCTGCTGAAGAGATCAGCACCAGCATGTGTGTTTTGGGTGCTTGCACAGAAAATGCCTTAACTAGCTTAAACATCAAAACTAGCATGGTCAACCTGCTTCACCAGCACTGAACCAACATGTGAAATCATCACAGCCTTTTTTTAGCAGGGTGGTTTCATAAAGTTCACCACATGTTTGTGTTTTCTGTACCAGCTCAGTTCACTCACCCTCTGGGTCCAGCTGGGAGGTGCTTTGACTCTTCTTCCCCAGTCCCACCATGGCAGCCATCTTGGCTCCGAAGCTGGAGCGCCTCTTCTTGTCGTCGTCTTCGTCGTCGTTCCTGCCCAGCGAGCACATGTCTCCACCCACACTGGAGCTCTTGGTGATGTTGGACCCCGGGGTGGCCGTCTGAGCCCTGTGTTTCATTTTAGATGTTAACTCACTGTCAGCCATGTCAGGTGCAGGTGATACATGAAGAAGGAAGGACAGGAGGACAGGAAGAAAGAGGAAGGGACAGGATTCAGCTACAGGATTTAGGAGCAGGGTCAAAGGTGAAGGACAGGCACACTGGTACAACACCAACAAGATGGGACATCTACTGGGGAGCATGACCAGCATTTATGGAGAGTTGCAGGGATGGTGTATTTTTGTATGCTAAAACAAGGAAACAAGTTGCATTTTAGCACTTCCAGTTCCATCGTCCTGAAGTCAATGGGTTTTCTGAATGGTTCAATTTCAGAAATAAGGTTTGTGTTTAACACAAGCTCAAGATATTTTCATGTGTTACTCTACAATATAAAATACATCAGTAGTACCCCCTTGTGATTTTGAAAAAGGTGGTTGATAACAAGTGTCTAAATGGGACTCCAGAGTTTGTCTAAGATCACACTGAACAGATAAACTCATCTACTCACTAGTCACTCTCACAGCCTCTTTGTGTTCATAATCATGTTTTTAAATAAAGACTGAAAGAGTTGTCGGAAGCTTAATGGTGATGATGTTGAAGTCATGTGACTGTGGCGTAGTTCATTTATAACCTACGTTTAGCTTTTTACTTCTGGCACTTGTATTTATGCTTCAAAATTCATAAAAGTTGTGTTCATTATCATGATGGACAAAACATGTAAGAATCGTAAGCTTTTGTTGATCACAGAGCTTATTTGCTGCAATAATAGAAAAAAAAAAAGAATGGAAAATCCTTTTGCGTTTTTGTGATGAGAGCTTACAGGTCGGCCTACAAAAATACGTCATAGCGCTTAGCAAGAGAAATCTATGAAAGATGGGCAACTTTGTGGGTGTTGATTTTGCTATCAATCTGTCAGCTAAATAGTGTTAATTTCGTTAACGAAGACTATGACGAAAAATGTTCGTTGACGAGCTTTTTTCCCATGACTAAGGCGAGACGACAATAAGGTCACTAAACGATAACTAAGACTATATCAACATTCAATTTCGTTGACGAAATAAGACGAGACTAAAATGTATTCAAAAAGATAAAAACTTTACCAAAAACCTCTTTATTTTCGTCAAAAAAAGGAGACGTGTGTTTTGCTTATTTAAGCAATCTGGCAACCATGCGCACGCGCTCGCTCCTCATTGCGGAAGCTCCATAGACTATTGCAATTTTGGAATTAGTGGAATTACTAGGAATTTCACTGTTATAATATTTTTCGTTTGTTTTAGCTGTTTTCATAATGTAGACCGAGAGATTGCATAAGTATTTGGTATTAATTTATGTATTAAAAAGCCTATAATAAATCAGTACACTAGATAAAATACACCATGTATGTGTCCACATTCTATTGATTTGTGCTTACTGGAGAAAGTGCAATACCTGAAATGTGAAAATACACCATGTATGTGTCCACATTCTATTGATTTGTGCTTACTGGAGAAAGTGCAATACCTGAAATGCAAATGTAAATTTCTCAAATGACAACAATCATTACGATTATAATTTTGAGAAAAAAATAATTGTTATCAATTATTGTTTAACCATTATACAGCATGACGAAAATGTGACTAATATTTCATTGACTAAAAAAACCTTTAATACTGCTGTACGGTTAATTAATAATAATCTTATTGCTAAAATGTCAAGTTTTCATTGACTAAAACTAGACTAAAATACTTCAGGTTTTCTTGGACTAAAACTAAACTAAAATACTTCAGGTTTTCTTCGACTAAAACTAGACTAAAATGTTGAGACTTTTAGTCGACTAAAACTTGACTAAAACTAAATAGGATAAGGTTGACTAAATATGATAAAAACTAACAAGGACATTTTACTAAGACTAAGACTAAAATGAAAATAGCTAACAAAATTAACACTACAGCTAAAGCATCAAACAAACAACAATGACCTTAAAATGTAGGCGGCTTTAGAATATCTCAAATAACTTGATGTTACTATAGTATTGTAGCCTATGGATCATTTGATGAGACATTTAAATATCTGGTTTTTGACTGCAGATTTTGGTATTTTGTAATATGTCATAATGGAGTCATGAGGTGTAAAGCCTGCCACAAAAGATTGCTGCCAATCTCTACACCATTAATTTCATCAATTAGCTGCAGTGACATTATTTTATTTAATTGAAAAGGTTTACTTTAGCACATCTTAGTCAAAAGGTCAGGGATATATATAGAGGCTGTAATATGAAGTATTTATTCACAGAGACAGTTTGCGGAAAGCTTATATAATGAGCTATTTAGGTGACATGAGACAAGCTCTTGAGTCAAACACGGAGAAAATAATGAGACGGTGACTCATCAAACTCAAGCTCACGCTCCTGAGAAAACATGAGAGGATAGCTTTAGGATAGAAACATGAGATTTGATCCTGTGCCAGTGACTCGTCTGACTAAGAGAAACCAGAGATTCACTTTCTGTTGGTTTTCTGTGAATGGCAAGTTTTTAGGTGAACTTTTTTTCCCTGTGTGAGTAGGTTTGTATGTATGAAAACACAACCAGAGGAGACTTTTGTGAGGACATTTCTCTTGACAATGAGGTGAAACATTTGTACGGCTGTGACGAAAAGGACGAAGCTGTTTCTATGGCAACTGTATCTTCTAGCCTCTTCTTTGCTCTGAATGTTAAAGTCAGACAGGATCACCTGATTTTAAACGCTGTAACACTTAGACACTGACTAAAATGTTATTTTTTTAAAATTACGCCTTTACAAGCTGATATTGCTTCATATGTGGATATAAACAGGTTTCAGCAGATCTTATAATTGTAGCTGTACACACAACTGTCAATAACTTCTTAAAATAGTCTCAACTAACTTATATTCACCTCTTCTATTCTTGAAATACTGTGCTTATGATTTAAGACAAGGTTTTTGTGCCAAAAGCAGTAGTTTTTAAGATCATTTTTTACCCACTCTCTGAGCTCTTTGTATTTGTTTTTTACTGTACCTTTAAGGCTTTTATGAAAACTTTATAAATATTTATGAAAAATATAACAAAAATACAAAGGTTAAAAATCTGACTGAAATGACCAGGAATGGTGTTAAAAAGTAATCTTCAGCCACTTGTGTCTAATGTTGGGATGACGGTCCCAACCTTTTTTTTTTTTATTATTATTATTATTCAGCAAGCATGCATTAAATTGATCAATGCAACAGCAAATTATAATGCTAAAATAATGTAAAAAAATAAAAAATAAATAAGTACAACTGTAGTTTAGGGACCAATTCTCACTATTAACTAGTTGCTTATTAGCATGCCTATTATTAACAAATTGGCTGTTTATTAGTACTTATAAAACACATATTCTGCATGACCATATTCTACATCCCTAATCCTAAACTTAACAACTACCTTACTAACTATTAATAAGCAGCAAATTAGGAGTTTATTGAGGCAAAAGTCATAGTTAATAGTTAGTTAACAGCGAGAGTTGAACCTTAAAATAAAGTGTGACCAAAATAAATCCTTCAAATAAATGCTGTTCTTTTGAACGATTTATTCATCAAAAGACAGCACAGCTGTTTTCAACACTGCCATCAGCTTTGCCATCGCAGGAATAAATTACATTTTAAAATTAAGTATAAAACGGTTATTTCAAATCAGAGGAATTTAAAGTTCCAAGATATTAAAGTTCCTATATTTCTTTCCCAGCAGAGGTCTGGACAATACTTTTTTGAATTAGTAATACATTTCCATTTGGGCAGCAGAAGTACTTTGTAAAAGAAAAATCCTAAACAGCCAAAATAGCATTAAAGAAGATACTGGGCTCCAAGAGCCAAAGCAGTATGTCTGAGAATTTTTCAAAAAAAAAAAAAAAAGATGTATTTCATCATTTGAGCCCAAATAGATATGATATATTAAAAGGTAAGATCAATGTTTTATCAAGCTATTATTTTTAACATTTAGATACCTATGTATGGCAGAAGGCTGTGACATTAAAGAAATTGTATGGAGGTTCAAGGTTTTCATTTTTATATTTTGCTTAAAATAAGTATCTAAGAAAAACAAATAAACAACATACAGTTATATCTGAACAAATGCACATTATTATTCTTTAGCTTGGGTTGAACACATAATTTTTTTGCTTAGTTGGAACAGCTTAGTTTTTCTCAATTTCCTTCTCTGTTTCTGCCACGGGATTGACATTCCGGAATTACACAAGCTTCAGTCTGGATCCAGCCCTTACAAAGACCTGAGACGACCGAAAAGAGATGACGCCAACCCCTCAGAGGACCTCAGATGATGCCAACCCTCAGACAACATACAAAACTACCACATTTTGCTATAAGCTTGATCGCAACATATAATCATTGCTGTTAATAGTGTTCACCGTCTGTTTGATTACATGACATTAACTAAGTGCTTGATTTTTACTGTACATTTCTGCCATATGGACATCAACTTGAGATAGTCACCACTGATAAGCTACTACTAAATATAATTTGCATCATGAAAAGCACTATACAAATAAACTTGAATTGAATATATTATAATCAAAACGCTTTCATCAAGAGCAGAAAACAAAGAGTTTTAGCAAATGTATCAGTCTGTTTTGCGGCTCACTGTGTTTTTGCTGCTGCTGTTAAAATAACCATGCCATCCATAGCTCTTGTAGCACTTTATGTCTTTAGCCGGAGAGAGAAGCAATGCGTACGGAGCAGAAAGGGTTTGAATGAAGCGCGTTTGCCTCTCACTTTAAACTACTGAAATGGTAAAATGGTGCTACAGTTGTCATTATGTCTCACAGTTCAGCTGAAATTTGAGGTAATGATATTTAACAATATTACTGTTTTTACTGTATTTTTGTGAGTTCCTGTGGGTCAGAAGCTACGAGATCTTATGACTGAGTCCGTATGAATGACTTCCCCTCATTAAAGGGTTAGTTCACCCAAAAATGAAAATTAGCTTACTTTAGCAAAGGAAAACCAGTCTCCTCTTGGCTTATATAGAAATCCTCCGACATTCTTCTTTACAAATCCTCGTTTTGTACTTCTAATGTTTTGTTTTGATCTCTCCGCTGCGCTTCCACGTGCGTCACTTCCGAGTTTTTATGGATGGGCGCTTTTTATTTAACTTCTTTTGGACTGATGCATGCAACACCTGCTGAGTGCCATGGAACAGCTTGAAAGATCAAAGACAATTTTTAATATAACTCCGACTGGATTCGTCTGAAAGAAGAAAGGCATATACACCTAGGATGCCTTGAGAGCGAGTAATTCATGGACTAATTTTCATTTTTGGGTGAACTAACCCTTTAACCCAACATGAATGACCATCAGACCAAAAGAGGCATAAAATGTTTTCAAGAGCACGGTCGCTACTTTGAAATGACTGTAACCTAATAAAAAAGTGGTCTATGGTACTCAACATCTGTACGCGAGAGTCTCTGAGTGCTGGTTATGCAGGAACTGATGCTACTGCAGCTGCTAATTGGTGAAAAATTCAGTTAACGACATTAAAATTCTATTTTTTTTTCTGCTGTAGCGTTTTTAATGATCATAAACACTTCATCTATATTCAATTAGTGACCCATAAATGGTATTGAAAACGTATTGAAGTGTAAATCGCTGGAAATGCTCAAGAACTGAAGCTTTTTTCTTGCGTTAGCTCTAGTTGGAGTGAAGACGGCAGCTGTTCATGCGACTCTCCCCAGGGTCACTGAGATGACTGCGATATTATGTAAGACACAAACTCTTTTGGGACAGTATGATGAATTATATGGCAGTGGAGCGAGGTGTCATCCACAACTAACAAACACAGAACTGCATTACAAAGACATTGAAAAAAGTGAAATGACAGTGTCGTTTATTTTTTTAAAGTGCATTTTTATATTGGTCTAATTGAGAATTATGCTTTCTGGTTTAAACCTGCTTTTGATTTTGTCGTCTGAAAGCAAATAACGCTTCCCATACAAATAAATAAATAAATAATAATAATAATTAATGAAATAAGAATCAAAACATAAAAATAAACATTTAAAATGTAATATAGGTAAATATTAATTCATTAATTAATATTTACTTTCATTACATTTTATGTTTATTTTTATCTTTTTATTTGCATTTATTTATTTATTTTTTTGTCTTGTGTTTTTGCTTAATTGACATTAAACATGCTGGATAGCTTTTTATAATTTTTTTCTGGAGCGTTTTTTTTTAGTACATATACCTAAGCTTTTAGCTTTTGTTTATGGTTAAATTAAGTTGTATAAAGCCAAAAAATATTATACTGACCTACATTGTTACATTTTGGCTTATGTCTACAAAAACTATATTGATTAACTATAATCTTTATAATAAATAATGTTTTACCGTTTTTAGAGATGTTTTTGTCTTTGGGAAAATAAATATTTTTCATTAATATTAAATCAAAATGTAATGTTTCAACCAAACCATGAATATAATTTGACAAAAACTATTTTTTGTCCAAATAAATAAATAACATATGGATTTTTTTTTCAGTGTACTAACAACTTGACACGCACACAAGAACATACACGATGTAAAACTATTTCCTAGTTCTCCTCATTTCCTAAACTCTAATTTACATCAGAACACTTTAGGGGCAAGCTGAAGGATACTAGCTGGGTTTATGAGACACTCTTCCTCTAACCTCTCAGGTTCCTCCTGTTCTTCCTCTTCCTCTGGGTTGACAGTAGCCCCGCCCACCTCCCCATCATGCCCCGCCCCCTGTGCGCTCGCTGTAGTGGATTCCAACTGCTCTTCCACAGAGACAGAGCCCTCCTCTCCCTGACTCTGAAGAGCCTCCGCACGGCTGACATTCACACACAGACACACGGACACATAAACCAAGCCATGACACCATGAAAGGAAGCATGCAAGACAGAAAAGACACAGAAAAGACAGATATAAGCTTGGCAGACATGCAGATGAAGAAAAAAGAGAAACCGTAAACAAAACAACAGTATGAAAATGAGTGCCGTCAAACGATTATTCGTGATTAATCGCATCCAAAATAAAAGTTTGTGTTTTCATAATATGTGTGTGTGTACTGTCTATATTTATTATGTATATATAAATACACACACATACATGTGTATATTCATCACATAGATTCCCATGTGATGGCGGCGCGTGCACACGCTGCGGCTTCTCTCTCTGGCCTGAATATAAGACGACCCTGATTATAAGACGACCCCCCCTTTTTCCAGATGTACCTTTTGGAAAAAGGCTTTTTAAAAACCAAATCTTGTTTTTTTTTCTCAGTAAAACACATTTTGTCTTCAATTATTTTCATATTGCATATTTTTCCTATTTTAATTTTTGTTTTGAAAGTATGGTAAAAACTGGTAAAATGTACCAACAATCACATTTTAAAAATATACACTTTTTGATATACCATTAAAAAAAAAAACAGGTAGCCCATCTGATTTAGGACATTTAGGCTATCCATCTAATTAGTAGCCTACCAAAATCTTATTAACAGTAGAAGTTAAATTTTACTGTAGTCTTCAAATCTGGGTACTGTCTTACGTTTTAAAATCACAAAGGGAGTTTGGTGCCATCAGGCTAGCGTGACAGTCACGACTCATGCAGCTGTAAGGTTTTTTTCTTTTGTTTTTACTCGCGATCTTTACAACACACATTACATTACGTATTTCATGGCACACTCGTTTTATGCGTATTTGGCGCCACCTATGTGTGTGGGTGTATTATTGACATGTCAAAGTCTAGACCCTGAATATAAGACGACCACGTTTTTTCAGATGTATTTCCAAGAAAAAAATATCGTCTTATATTCGGGACAATACGGTAATATATGTGTGTGTGTATTTATATATTTATATTAAATATACACAGTAAACACACACACATATTACGTAAGCACAAACTTTTATTTTGGATGCGATTAATCGTTTGACAGCACTAGTGAAAATGAACTCTCTTCATGAACAAGAGAGATTCTGTGACAGAATGATGCTGTCATATACTTTGAGATTCTCTTGAGAGTCTCAGTCCTTCTGTTAATGGGTGAAAACATGTCCAATCCATATTTTAATAACACATTTTCATGAAAAGTAAGCTTTTAGCCTCAAAATTCTCATTATTGTTATGTGAAAAAATCTCTTTCTCGTGTGAGAGAAATAATAAAAGGGTTAGGGTTAAATTTAATTATTTTTTAAAGAAATTGTACATTTTATTCAGAAATAATGCATTAAACAAATAATATGAAAAATAATATAAGATGAAAAAATAAATAAAGCAGTGACAAAGTCTTTCAAACTGCTGCAAAAAGTATTGTTTCAAATAAATTCTTCACATGACAAGTAACATTCTTCACATGCTGTTCTTCTGAACTCTATTTATCAAATAATTCTAAAAGAAAGTCATGAAAAAATATGTAATTATATTTTTATATAATAATATATTTTTTAATATTTAATATATTTTTGATATTATATATAATATTATTTATATTGTGGTTTCCACAAAAAAAGTTAAGAAGCAAAAAACATTTCCAACATTGATAATAATAAGAAATGTTTGTTGAGCAGCAAATCAGCATATTAAAATGATTTCTGAAGGATCTTGTGACACTGAAGACTGGAGTAATGATGCTGAAAATTCAGCTTTGATCACATGTATATATATATATATACATACATACTGTATATATAGCAATAATATTTCACAATATTACTGCTTTTACATAACAGACAAAACACTAAGAAATCTTAACTTATGAAACTAACCAAACTATATAAATTGCACTACAGTAATGATAATTTATATATATAATTGAATATTAATCAATATAATTGATATTTGTTTCTCTTTAGATTTGGGTGTTAAATATGAGTTGGACATTTCTTCATGAGATTCACCTGTATATAAGTTTGTTGAAAACCACATGATGTGGTCTCAGTCATTGGTAAACACACTCTTGGCAAGTTCAGAGGTTCATCTCAATTCGCAAGCAGGCAGAGCCAAACCTGAACTCGCCAGAAGCACAGTAAGTGTGTTCATGACTGCAGATACATCCACAGCTATCAGGGCTCAGTGGGTTCATTATGTGCCTACCTGATCCTGCGGCTCGCTCGCACCCTTTCTGACTGGACAGACATGTAGCTCGTGCTGCTAAGACGAGACGCGCTCGACAAAGCGGACACGTCGCTTACATCACTGTCCGACGACCTCATGGAGAGACTGTCCATCCCACGCTGTGAGGGGAAAAAACAATGCCGATTATTACATTCAAATAAAGCTGCACAAACTGCCTTCTAAACAGGAATGACATGAATCAGTACAGTTAAAACATTACACACTTTGATTTAAAGCAAAAAAGTAAATCAAAACTGGACAAAAAGATGAAGGTACAAGACTTTAATAAAGGACAAAATAATGGCTTTAATAAAGGACAGAACTATAATCCCACGAAGCGTTGCAAATTACATTAATCAAATAAAAAATGTTGGAGAAATATAAAACTATATATATATATAAATATATATATATATATACATATATATTTAAGTGTATTACAAGCTATGCACATATAAATATTTAGGTTGGCCGACTCTATTACATAATTTGCAGTGCTTCATGGGAGTGGGCAGGGCTAAAGATCTTTTTGGTGCAATTTGCTTGCCCCAACGTTCTGACTGTAGGAATTTTCTGTAGATTATCATGGGTAATGTAGTTTTTCTAACATGAATTCTGCTGTTAAACATTATTTAAAAGTTAAAAAAATGTGAAAAGATGGATTTAACAAAAGCCGATACCATCAACCTCAGAGTTCACAACAGGTCTGTCTTTAAAGGTTTACAAGTTATCATGAAAAGTCTGTTTCCCTATGGAGAAAATGATGTTGCACTCTATAGAGTGTAACGAATCAGCTCATGGGAAATATGAATAATTAATCATAACTAGTTATAATTAATTATTCATATTTTAGATCCGCTGTAGATATTTAGCTGACCTCTCAGGGTCAACTGTCTTGTCAATTCTAAGAACGTTAATTTCCTGGTTAAGGGAAATAACGGTCGACATTTTATTCCATAACGTTACACAGTTTTGATGCTGTTTTATGTCTGATGATCATGTTAGAATACATGTGGAAGCATCTGTTGTTTCGGTTTCTTCTTCACTTGTGTTTTTATTTTGTGGAAATTATGTACCTATAAGATGCGTACTAGCGCCCCCTACAGTATAACAATGAAAACGTTCTCGGAGCACAAGTATAGCTCAAATATATTTAGACTTTTAGAGAGTATAAGTCAAGTATACTTAAATGTCATTTTAAGTATATTTCTGAGAAGTACATAAAGCCCATGTCTGAGAAGTACATAAAATTAGACTGAAAGTATACTTTCCTATTTTTTAGTTTAAAAGAAGTATACTAATAGCACACTTGAATAAACTTCTTTTTCATAAGGGAACACCATATTAAATTTTTGACAGGAATGAAAATGAGGCTGTGAGGGATAGAAATAAATTCAATGGATTTACTGTTGTTTAACAACATACCGATTGCTCAACTGACAAAATGTCTTTCATCATAAAAAAAAATAAAAAAACTTTCAGTAGAAAAAAACTAGTCCTTATATTTTCAATATACTGCAATATATGCATTGACCATGTATGGCTATATATTGATACATACAAAAAATATTTAGAAATGAAGACAAAAATAGCATTGCATGTAATATTCATAAAGTGTTATCCTTTCATTGTGCACATATATTGCACATACATGTACCGATATAAATGTGAACGTAAGTACACACATTCACAGAATGAGTTACAGCAGATTTCTAGTTCCCAGCATGCTTTGCTTCTGACTGTTAGGGGAGAGTAAATCTTAAAATGAAGTGTTATGTGTTTTGCTCAATATTATTGTAGGTGGAGATCTGTTAGTGTCTAATGCTCTATTATTTTGGAATTTAAAAGGGTTTCTGGTGTGTCTTAGTTTGTGGGGTTATAATTAAATATATTGTCACATATTTTTTAATATAGGAAAATGGCAATTTCTTATGTATTATTCAATATATTGTAATATATTAACACAATACATTATTCTGTATATTTTCAATACACCGTTAAATCATTTAATATATTGCTCATTCATTTAGAAGGAAATATAGTTTCTTTGTGTAAGGGTCATTTTCATCCGCATTAAATTCAATATGGCGTCTAACCTGACTAAGGTCTATGCACAGATCACACAAACATAGTCCCTTTTAATTAAGACTTATTTTATTGATGTTCCCTTCTGAATTAAATATCAGTATATTTCTGGTCAGGAGTTCCTGACTTCATCAGCCATCTTGGATACATGCGATTCTGTCTTATATTTAAGGCTTTTCCGTCCTTATTTAAAGAGGAAAGTGCATTAAATGCTGTCTAGGTAGGCAGTACATAGGTTTTAAAACAGAACCAATAACTAAAATGTTCAGAAACGTCACAAAGGACACACATGTCTCTCAGCTGTCAAAACCAGGTTTACAATTAATCGAAAGAGAACAGAGGACCAACCGAAGTGTTGCAGGTAAGCTTAGTGAGATATGCAAGAATTCAGGTAAACAGAGCACACGCGCCTCTACTGGAGAACGTTATTCACAGCGTTCATCTTCTCTTACAGTAAGCTCAACACCAGTCCTGATGGTGCATTTCAGCGGCGGATCAGGAACACGGGTTTGACAGATACTTGACACTTTATGTAACCATGAGAGACAGCTTGTCAGGGTGGGCGTGGTTTCAGCAACCAGCTCCCACCTCTTTGCCCATTTTATCTGGGAGTGACGCGCGGTGACGCGCTGCCAAGATGGTGACGGCCGGCTCCGCCTACTTTGAGCTTCAAAAACGCTCTTCAGAAAACTACGGGTGACGTCACGGACACTACGTCCATGTTTTTATACAGTATATGGTCAGTACTTAATAAAGTGTCTATATTGCTGAAACTTCTCATTGTACCTAGTTGGGACTCAGTGCAAGGGTGGTAAACTTTATATCAATGGAAGAGCTCATTCCTTACTGCCAATTATTCTCAACCACCCCACTGGTGACAAAGGCCAACCGGCTGGCATCAGAAATGTTCATAAATGTGCTTAAAATATCAGGGGAGTTAAGCAGCAAATGATACACTGGCTGAGACTTCTCTCCGCACGAAGAACCATGAAGAAAAGCCCCTCTATTCCCAAATACTGAGGATACTACAATTGCTTTACTGTAGAAGGACAGAAAACATGAAGTAAAAAATAAACTCAAGCAATAAGAGAAAGAAACGTACCCTTGATGGATCCTTCAAAGTGCCTGTGTGGAAAGACAAACAAGGGTTAGATGTACTGAAACTCATCAAATTTGCACAGTATGCAAATTTGTTGCTTGTTACATACAGATATACATCCAGCAAACTCCAAAGCGACAGACAGCAGACGTAACAAAGTTATATGGACAGCATTTTTCAACAGTAGGAAACTCTATCTGATCCAGTCTAACCCAAGTAAACAGAAATGTGAAAGAAAACATAATGCCATTAAAGAGCTGAATGAAAATTGATTTGACCAGTCAATTCAAAAACCCCATGAAATGGTTTTAGGAACAGAAGTTACACACTCTTGAACAGGAGATGATCCTCAATGATTCTGCCAGACTAAAGAGACTGCATTTGACACCTTGTACTGTATCTCTGCTAAACATTTACTTTGTCAACACTCGCATATATGCTGCAGATAAGAAAAAAGCTTTGTAACAGAGGAATGGACAAAAAGCCACAAATAGAATGAGTTCAGAGTCTCCAAGGAACTGATTACGAAAAAATTATAGGCTTTTCTCACATATATACAATGACATTCAGCAATAAACACAGCAAACACCCATATTTCGAGAAAAAAAAAAAAAAAGTCCACAAATTTGTACCTTTAGGCGTACAACAGCTTGTCACCGGGGCAGTAGCCTCAAAGGGACACCTTCACACCTTCTTAACCCCGAAGCACAAAGTATACTTCATTTTTGTGCGGGTAGCGTATGCGTACAGTTGAATGCGTAGCCTTTAAATAGTATACTTCATTTGATAGCATGCTCGAACGCAGGCTGTCAACACATGCGCTCTAGAAAGCTTCATCTTTGTCCAGCATCTGCTCTATATTTCTCCATAAGTTATGACTAATAAAAATAACTTTGTACGATCTCATAACTCTCTTACACAAACGCTTACTTCGTTTTTTAGGCATACGTGAGGGTCCGCGTACAGTGCGCGTGACGAAAATTTCATCAGCAGAATAGTACACATGTACATGCACCACCCATTTTTTGTAACCACACATACTTTGTATGCATAGGTCGCACATGTGCATTGACTTGGTTCTGCTCTCATCAGTTGTTCCACAAGGTGGCAACACTGGCCCGGGCCGCTGTTTCTCAGTAGAAAGCGAAACTAAGAGATGGAACAACAACAGCAAAATAGCGGAGACTGCAACAACAACAGACATTTTTATCAGTCATAACTTCTGGAGAAAAATAGAGCAGATGCTGGACAAAGATGAAGCTTTCTCGAGCACGCGAGTCGACCGCCTGCATTCGCATACACCTGAAATGGACTATACTTTGAAAGGCTGTGCGTGTACGCACAAAAAAAAAAAAGTATACTTGGGCATAACTTTGCGTCACATACACTGTACGCGGACCCTTGCAGATGCGTAAAAAACGAAGTATGCTTTGGGCTTTAAGGGTGCATATTAGTACCTTACATTAGTAATTGTACCCTTAAGGTAGTAATATGTACTCTAATGTACTGAAGAAATGAAGAAGGTATGAAGGTGTCCCTTTTAGGGTACTGCCCCAGTGACAAGCTATACTCCGCCTCACGCTACAAGTTTTGCTCAGTTTTTCTGAGAGTGTACAGATAAAACTTGCACACTTTAAAGGTGACATATCATGAAAATCTGACTTTTCCAAGTTTTAAGTGCTATAATCAGGTCCCCGGTGGATCTACCAACCAAGCAAACGTTCTGGCAAAAGGTTCCAGCACACACACACACACATACACACACACACACACACACACACACACACACGCACGCACGCACGCACGTCTCCAGAAGTTGTTTTGAAGGGCTTTATGTTAGGGTAGCATAAGTCAGTCTGTATACAATACCTGCATCTTCACTCTCTGACACTGTTGACTCTGACACTACAGCTGATGTGCGGATGAGAGGAAAACAAGACAGTTTAGACAGACACATGACACACATTGTTATGATGGACACACACACTCTCACACAAACAGAGTTTAGATGAATTTCACATTCAGAAACTCATCACTCATAACATGCCAAAACAAACAGACGCTAAATCAGATCGAGAGAAATCCAGCACCAGAAGAAGAAAAAAACCCTTTAAAAGATGTAAAGCATCAAAACAAAGAACCGATGCATACTATGAGCAAAGATTAATGAAGTACATAAATCTCAAACACGCACTACAAACACAGACCACCATCGATACCCTATTTTCCCCACAAAGTACTACAAGCAACGCTACAACACAATGCATTTATAATGACTCGCATGCTATTTTGCCTCAATTCTGCTCTCATTTAAACTATTGTATAAGTTTCACTTGAAAAGCAATCAAAGATCTTAAAACATGAAATTGACAACAAAATCCCACAAGCCTCCAGTTTCATTTTACATGTGCTGTAAATGTAGTGATTAATGTAGTTTATTCTATTGTTCTGTTTTTCATCTTTACATCAATTGTAAGTATTGATAATTCCAGAAATGAAAACTGTATTCTCCTAATCTTATAGACTAAAGACATCAGTGAGAACTGATTCATCATGTAAATGACTATGAATGTGACCTTACTTCTACCTCAAGTTGCCATAGTGACGCCAAAGAAAAATTAGCAGTTCAGTTCGACATCTATACTTGAACCTTCATTCAGATGAGACAATCTGAACAATAAAAAACAGAAACACTGGGCTGATGATACTAATAATAATCACTGGTTCCATACATAAATCCTTGTGACTTTCACTAGGCGAGACGCAGCATACTTCAGTACCCTGTTAAATTAGCTGCACCATGTGGGTTATGAAAATTAAACCTGCTATAATGCTAATGCATTATACTATTTATGTTAATATTATGCTGTTGTAAACAATGGATTCTTGATCCACTGAAGTAGGACTTTATATGTAATTTCCTAATTCTATTGTCTTTGAAAGTGCACTGCTGAATATACTGACAAATATTTATGGTAAACTAAAATATACTTTAATGTCTTTACTTATACTTTCTTTTTTTTAAATCGATTCCTCTAAAATAAATCAGACTTGTTGGCACTTCCCAGCAGGCAAACACCCCATCACCAGTTGATGTTCAAACATCACAAAAAGCAACACTACATTTTAGTAGTCATGCCATATAGAGCCGTAACTACAGAAGGTCCTTAACAAATAACACAGCAGCAACACGAGCAGCAAAAGCAGAGAGCTACAAAGCAGAAGAAGAGCTGAAATCTAGATCCCTCAGAAGTGCACTAGGATCGATCTACTCTACTAAGGGCCGATGAAGACCGCAGGTTGTGCCATACCAGGAGCTTTCTTCTGCTGGTCCTCCCATGTGACCTCTGAAGTTACAACACAAGGAGAAAGAGTCAATGCTTCTGCTTAACAAAGCTGTTAATTAGATGTGCATAGTTTAGGCCTGCAGAGCGCACATACTGTATAAGCCACATTTAGCATGTTCAAATTACAATTACATGCAATTTACCCTTATAGACTTAAAAAAAATACAGTGATTTTTTTTCACTCTCTCTATAAAAAAAATACTTTCTAATTTTTTCACTTGTCGTAATTAACTAAAAAAATTGCAATTTATTATTTTAGTAATTTATTAGTAGTTATTAGTAGTTATTTATTTTATTACTTATATACATATATACTGTATATATATAATATATATATATATATATATA